TGATTCATAGAAAATAACATTTCTTGACAAAAAAATTTCTCTGGAATTAAGATCATACAGAATGTATCCCTTTGTACCATCCTTATGACCAAGATAAATGCATTTACGGGCTCTTGAATCAAATTTGACACGGTTGGCTTTTAATGTGGAGGCAAAAGATAGACAACCAAAGGCTTTAAGGTGAATGATGACAGGTGGCTTTTTGTACAATAGCTCATAGGGTGACTTGTTTTGTAATTTTGGTGAAGGGAGTCTATTGATGATATGAATAGCATGAGAAATGCAATAGGACCATAAATTCTTGGGGAGACTACCTTGGAACAGAAGAGCTCTTGCTGTATTTAAAATATGTTGATGCTTTCTCTCCACAACACCATTTTGTTGTGGAGACTCAACACAAGTCAATTGGTGAATGATTCCACTTTGATTAAAAAAATCTTGCATCATAAACTCCTGACCATTATCACTTCTAAAGGATTTTACAGTCATGTGAAACTGATTTTTAACAAAAGAGACAAAAGATTTAATGTGCATTCTGATTTCAGATTTTGATTTCATCAAAATTCCCCAAGTAAAACGTGTGAGATCATCAACTACTGTCAAAAAATATCGATGACCATGAATAGAAGATATAGAATATGGTCCCCAAATATCCAAATGCACTAGATCAAAGGGATTATCAGAAACAGTGGAACTAGAAATGAAAGGCAATTTTCTTTGCCTGGAATAATGGCATATATCACAAGGAGTATCAGTATTTTTACAAGATATAAAAGGATATTGGGTGATCATTGTCTTCATTACAGAAGAAGAACAATGTCCTAAACGCAAATGCCAAACATCTATGGAACCAGAATTTACAGAATAAGGAGATTGAATGGAAATGTTATTTGTGGATTTAACTTGTGGGTCTGAGTATGTATTTTCTTGGCTACAGTCTTGAGTAAGGATGTATAGGCCTCCCTTCAGCCTAGCTGAACCAATCATCTCCATGGTAGGCATGTGTTGGATTGTGCATATTTGCTGCTGGAAAATTACACAGCAGTTAGAAACTTGTGACAATTTGTTCACAGATATGAGATTGACATTAAAATTCTCAACAAACAAAACATTGTGTAAGGTAAGTGTATTGGTCAAGTGTACAGTTCCTGAATAGTGAGATTGAACATGGCTACCATTAGGTAGAGAAATAGCTACTGGTGCAATCTTTTGTATTGAACACAAGTTGGTCAAGCAATGAGTTATGTGGTCAGTAGCTCCTGTGTCTAGGATCCATTGTGTGTGAGCATTACCTGTAGAAGCTGTTTCAACATTTCCCATCTTCATTTCGGTATTGAGTGCTCTTGCCTGCACTATGTTGCTCATATGAGGAGAATTGTCTTGCTGTTGATGTTGCAAAGTGTGCTGAATCATTTCAAAAATAGCATCATACTGATTCTTCGTAAAACTTCCCTTGCTCTCTTGATGAGTGACAACATTATTCTGATCACCAGCAATATCTGAGGTATCTTGAATTACAGCATTAGCTGACTTAGGTCCATTTGATCCATTTAGTACATTTGATCCACTTCTCATCTTATATCCAGGTGGATATCCATGCTTCTCAAAGCATGTGTCAATAGTATGGCTAGTCTTCCCACAGTATGTACATAGCCTAGTAAATGATCTGCCACGCCCATTACAATATCCTCTTCCTCTTCCTCTACCATTAAAACGACCACCTCTTGTCATATTGTGTTCTGTAGAAGAATTATAGAACACTTTTGAAATTCCATCTTCAGAGTTAGACAAAATGCCTTCAATATGCATTTGTCTTTCCTGTTGAGTAACCAATGAGAACACTCTATTAATTGATGGAAGAGGATCCATAAGCATGATTTGGGACCTCACATGAGAATATTGCTCATTGAGTCCCTTTAGAAATCTAATCGAATAATCTCTATCTTTGCTACTCTTCACTTCTGAGGCAATAGTGCAGCATGGCCGAATGCATTTACATGAAGGTGTAGGGTGTAAATTCTCCAACTCATCCCAAAGGATCTTAAGCTGGGTATAGTAATTTGATATCGATTTGTCTCCTTGATGAAGACGAAAAATCTCATCCTGCAAGTCAGAAATGCGAAAGATATCTGACTGAGAAAACCTCTCCTTGAGGTCTTTCCACACATCAACAGCTCTATCCATCCACAATATTGATTGAGAGATGGAATCAGTAATAGATCGATGCAACCATGACAGCACCATGGTGTTGCATCTCTCCCAAGCAGAATAATTCTTATCAGAATCCACTGGAACAGGAATCGAACCATTCACAAAACCAATTTTATTCTTAGAAATCAATGCCATGGTCATGGCTCTAGCCCATGCATGGTAGTTCTTGCCGTTCATCGGTGTGGAGACAAGAACAAGGGACGGATTTTCATTTGAATGTAGAAAATATGCATTACCTTGATCTGATAGATCTTGAACACGATTCTTATCTGCATTTTTCAGATTTGCAGCATTCGAAGCATTTCCTTGAATCTCAGGTTCATCAATAACCTGATCCATAACATGCGGAGGACTCTGATTCGCCATCCAAAAAAAAAATATTAAAAACGCCTTGATTCAGAAGAAGATCTATAAGAAGAAAGAAAACAGATCTAAGAAGGAAAGAAGAAAAATGGCGAATATCAGAGCCCTCTATGAGGCTCTGATACCATCTTAGTGTATGTGGAAGCGTGAGAAAGCTTCATTGATGAAAAAACAGAAAAGGTGTTACAGTAGAGTTTGTACCTTACCTATCTAATATGCAGAGTACACTGCTTATATATGCAGAAAGCAAAAGACCAAAAAATAAAATAGTCACACACGTGACTGGACTAACAAACTAGCTAACTACACATGGTTAGTGTAACAAACTAACTAACTACACATGGTTAGTCTAACAAACTAACTGACTTCTAATTACATAGCAACTACCAGTTAGAAAACTAACAACAGATTAATGATACAGAATAAATAACATATTCTGTATCAAATATCGTACTTTGTAGAGAGATGCAAAGATTAGGTTGGAACTAAATGCTAGGCATAAATACTATACGAAGCTAATTAATACCATTATCAACAAGAAGAGCTGAAATGTTCTCAACAAATTCCTCCTATATAACATACAATCCGGCCCCATGGTTTGAAGTAAAGGAGACATTTGATGTAGGGGGAAAATGTGTGTTATTTAAAATGATACACCTTGTGTCCTTTTACTCTTGTAAAGAAGCAAAACCCATAGTTTTAAAACTTTTCTCTCCCACTATTTTTTTTATGATTTATCTCTTTTTCTCATGTAAAATAACACAATTTTATATTCTTTAAATTGACACACAATTTTCCCTTGATGTAGATATGCATAAAGCGGATAAGACTAGCCTAAAAAAAGGAAGAAAAAAAATTTAGAATGAATAAATTAAGAAAAAATATTTATTATTTTAAATGACATAATTTTATGTCATTCTAACTAAAACGACTATATTTTAGTATATATGTGTTGGTTTTTTACTTTTTATTTTTTATACAATACTCTCTTTCTCTCTTCCAGAGAAAATGTAACACATCACTAAATATATATCAAACCACCACAATTTCATATAATTTGGCAAAAAAACTTTGTCATGACAAGCATTTTTTTCCATAAATAAATATCTTCGCAAGACAATTGTTTGCTTTCAAGCTATGCTGTGATGGGGGGTTTCATTTATAAATGTCTGAACAAAATACATCGAATGAGCATTCAATTCGACAAATAAAAAAGTCTAAAAGATGGGCGGTTATTTATATATTTGAGCCTAATGTGTAATGTCAAACGAATATGGAATCTCTTGTCGGTCGATTGCAGAACTTTACTAATTTAACAAAAAAATATTCACAGCGATAAACAAATCCACATGACTCGTACTTTCATGCTTAAATATGTTCAGTTCTACTCCAGTGAGTATAATAAGATAGTTTCTACTTGGCTAGCCTACATTCATAAATGATTATAAGTGATTAGATCAATCTATCTTTAAAACCCTTCGTCATTAGGCACGACTCATTAAAAAATTTAAAATAACTTTAATAAGGACTCTATTGTTTTTCAATTCTTATTTTAAGTTTATAATTAGTTATTTCTTATATAATAAACACTTTACTCATGCTAGGATTGCCAAATAAGAAATGACAATTAAATTTCAACTTCAAGGAATATAGTGAAGGGGAGAAAATGGTAATATCCATATATTTTCAAAATGGTAAGATCATGAATAATAAATTGATGCATGCCGTTTAGACCGATCCACTGAATGAAAATCACCGTTTATCACGCCAACACTGGAAAAGTCATAATCATAAATTCATAATGTATTCTATAATAAATTGTAGGTCATTGTTTTGAATAATCCAAAAAGAGTCCCATCTCAGAAGCTACCAAGAAAGTCAACACACAATAAGAGAGGGGTCCACATAGAAACGTGGTGTAGAATCTATAATGCAATAAAAATTAGATTAAATACTCTTTTTGTCCGTCAGCAAATTTTATGATGTCCGCTTTAGTCCCTAACAAATAAATAGGCTCATTGTAGTTCTTAAGAAATTCAAAATAGACCGATTTAGTTGAAATTAGTGTCTCTCACAAATTCAAAAAAGACCTATATTAGTCCTTAAAATAATTAAAATAGGACCATTTTGAATTTTCTTAGGGACTATGATAGATATTTTTATTTACTAGGGACTAAAACGGACATCGTAAAATTTGACGAGGAACACAAAAAAAAGTATTTACTCTAAAAATTATATTGGGTTTAGAACTATCAGTCTTACTTTTCTTTCTTGGCTGGCAAATAGCTTTCCGCAAAAATCAAGCTATGACTTGGGACACGGTTTACTTTGAACGGCGCAACATCTCTGAGTTGGTCTCTCTGACTAAGCACATTCATTACCCTTTACCTTCCTCATTTTCCACTCTGTTCTTCAACATAACTTTCTACACTTTTGGCCAACGTTCCTTGCCAAATTTAGGCGAGTTTAGGAAGATAAACACTGGAACGCACAAGTTATAAGGTTCTTGTTCATGGGTTTGCAACTTTATGAGACCACCATTTATTTCCTCAATTCTTCAGTCTTGTGTGGTTGTCACTCAGAGTAGACACCAATGAGAAGTACATTAGTCTCATGGCTTTCCTTCATTCTCTGCTACTGGATATTTCTTAGTACCCACATCTTTGTCGCCTCTGGCGTATGTCTTGATGATCAACAATCATTGCTTCTCCAACTAAAGAACAACCTCACATTCAACCATGAAAGTTCCAGCAAACTAGAGTTGTGGAATCAAAGCATTGCTTGCTGTAATTGGAGTGGTGTAACCTGTGATGTTGAGGGACATGTTATTGGCCTTGACCTGAGTGGAGAATCAATCTCTGGTGGATTTGACAGTACAAGTATTCTTTTCAGTCTCCAACATCTCCAGAAATTGAACTTGGCATCTAATAATTTCAATTCTGTCATTCCATCGGGATTCAACAAGTTGGAGAACTTAACTTATCTGAATTTGTCATATGCTAGCTTTGTGGGGCAGATTCCAATAGAGATTTCTCGGCTGACAAGGTTGGTTACTCTTGATATCTCTTCTCTTTCCTATTTAATAGGGCAAGAGTTGAAACTTGAGAACCCAAATCTACAAAAGCTTATCCAAAATCTCCCCAGTATTAGGCAACTGTATCTGGATGGTGTAACTATAACAGCTCAGGGACAGGAATGGTGCAATGCTTTGTTGTCGTTGCCTGACCTTCAAGAATTGAGCATGAGGCACTGCAATCTCTCAGGACCCCTTTATTCTTCCCTTACAAGACTTGAGAACCTATCAGTCATTATTCTTGATGGGAACAATTTATCATCAAGAGTGCCAGAAACATTTGCCAATTTGAAAAATCTGACCACCCTCAGTCTTGATTATTGCGGGTTGACTGGAATATTTCCACAGGAGATCTTCCAGATTGGAACGTTGTCAGTTATTGACATATCATACAACGAAAATCTCCTTGGTTTCTTTACAGACTTCCCCCTGAGTGGATCTCTCCAGACCCTAAGAGTAAGTAATACAAACTTCTATGGAGAATTTCCACAATCTATTGGTAACATGAGGCACTTATCTGAATTGGATTTTTCTTATTGTCAATTTAACGGAACACTTCCCAATTCACTGTCAAACCTCACAAAACTCAGTTACGTGGATTTGTCATTTAACAGCTTCACAGGTCCAATGCCATCATTTGGCATGGCAAAAAATCTTACCCACTTAGACCTTTCTCATAATGGTTTAAGTGGTGCAATTCCATCATCTTCTCACTTTGAAGGACTGCACAGTCTTGTCAGCATTGACTTGCGTTTTAATTCTATGGATGGGAGCATTCCTTCATCCCTTTTTGCACTCCCATTACTGAAGAGGATTCAGCTTTCCTACAACCAGTTCAGTCAACTAGACAATTTCACAAATGTCTCTTCCTCTATATTAGACACCCTCGATTTAAGTAGCAATAATCTATCAGGGCCTTTTCCAGCGTCTATCTTCCAGCTCAGTACACTCTCTATCCTCCAACTATCCTCAAACAAGTTCAATGGATCATTGGAGCTAAATAAGCTCTTGGAGCTCAGAAATTTAAGTACACTAGATCTTTCATACAACAAATTATCAGTCAATGTGAATGTTATAAATGCTGACATGTCTTCCTTTCCCAACATTAGCAATCTAAAATTGGCATCCTGCCACTTGAAAACTTTTCCTGACTTTTTGAGAAACCAGTCTAGATTAACCTATCTAGACCTTTCAGATAACCAGATTCAAGGAAAAGTGCCCAACTGGATTTGGAATCTATACAATCTTGGAAGCCTTAATATTTCTCACAATTTGCTGACTGACTTGGAAGGACCTTTGCAGAATCTTACTTCCAACTTGTTTCTCCTTGACCTTCATCACAACCAACTGCAGGGGCCAATACCTTTTTTTCCAAAATCTCCTGCCTATTTGGATTACTCAAGTAACAAATTTAGTGCTGTTATCCCACGGGACATTGGTAATTACCTTTCTGTCACAATTTTTCTCTCTCTTTCAAACAACACTCTTCGTGGCAGCATCCCTGATTCCTTCTGCAATGCTTCAAGTCTTCAAGTGCTTGATCTTTCCAATAATAACATATCCGGAAGAATTCCCTCATGTTTATTGACAATGAGTGAGTCCCTTGGGGTACTAAATCTGAGGAAGAACAAACTCAAAGGTCCCATCCCAGATATGTTTCCAGCTTCCTGTGCTCTAAAGACTCTGGATCTCCGAGGAAATGAATTAGATGGACAGATTCCACAATCTCTTTCCAATTGCACAAAATTAGAAGTGTTAAACCTTGCATGTAACCAGATTACTGATGGTTTTCCATGCTTGTTGAAGAAGATACCCACACTCCGTGTCCTGGTCTTGCGGGAAAACAAATTCAGAGGTCAAATTGGATGTAAAAAGACCAATGGTACTTGGCACATGCTTCAGATAGTTGATCTAGCCTTTAACAACTTCAGTGGTGAACTACCTGGAAAATGCTTCACTAGGTGGGAGGCAATGATGTATGATCAAAACCCAGCTGAATCAAAGGCAAATCACATCCAATTTCAGGTTTTTCAATTTGCTCCATCATATTATCAGGATTCAGTGACAGTCACAAGCAAAGGTCAACGGATGGAGCTGGTTAAGATTCTAACTGTCTTCACTTCCATTGATTTCTCATCCAACCATTTCTATGGAGAAATACCACAAGAGCTATTTGATTTTAAAGCACTCGATGTGCTTAACTTGTCAAATAATGCTCTTTCTGGCCAAATTCCATCATCAATGGTCAATCTCAAGCAGCTTGAATCCTTAGACCTGTCAAATAACTCACTGGAAGGAAATATTCCAACAGAGCTTGCAATTCTATCTTTCCTATCATTCCTGAACCTCTCTTTTAATCAACTATCAGGAAAAATCCCTACAGGTACCCAAATTCAATCATTTCCAGAATCTTCCTTCATTGGTAATAAAGAATTATGTGGCCCTCCTTTGCCTACAAATTGCAGTGTCAATATCAGTCCACCAATGATAGATGAAGTAAAAGGAATTGATTGGCAGTATATATCAACTGGAATGGGTTTTGGGGTTGGAGCTGGACTAGTTGTTGCCCCATTGATGATTTGGGAGAGAGGAATAAAATGGAGCAATGATATCATTGACAATTTTCTCATGGTTGTTCTTCCAATTTTTGGGTTAGCTTATACCCCCATTGGTGATGAAGAAGAAGAGGATGATGACACAGAAGAGAAGAACTCAGATGTGACAGAAGAATTTGATTCGGGTTATTCAATGTTCAGAGGGTGGTATTGTGTTTTTTGTTCCAAACTTGACATCACCAAGACGAAGGTCATTCATGACCTCAGCTGCACATGCTATCGCTCATCACCAGCTTCAAATTCTTCTCGTTCATCAGAGTCACATTCCTCTTAGTCATATACAAGATGAAAACATGCTCTTATGTTTCTCTTCTTTTTCTTTTTTTCTTGTCTTTATTCTTTCCTCTGAATGCATGCATGTATATGTTGTAGATACACACACAAAATCATCCAAACAATGAGAAAAAAGAAAATAATAATGTCCCCTCTGATTTTTCAGAAGGTGGTTTTTGTGGCAATCAGTGATAAGCAAGAAAAAAAAAACCAAAAGGAATAAAGCCAATGCTCAAACAGGATTTTCATCAAACAATTGGAAGACACCACTAATAAAATCACTTTGATGTTTATGTTGCACCATTGGGGGTACCATGCACATCAACAATTGCACTTATACTAGCCTTGAGGAGATAATAGCTAAGAATTAGGTAAGTGCAAATCATCATTTAGTTGAAAGAAAAAACATAGTTTTCTCAACGAAAAATTTGTGTGTTTGTGACTGGAGACACTCTAATGCCTCGCTATCCGAGTATAATTATCAGTGCGCTTTTTTTTTTTTTCTTAACCAGCAAATATATGCAGAAATATATTTTCTGTTTTATTAGATAATTACTAAAGGGTTTCCCAGAAACAATTATAAAAAAAAATATTTTTAAATCCAAAATATATTACAGTACAACCAAAAAAAAAAAAAGGTGAATAGTAAAGTTTTGCAAAAATGAAAAGTCGATTACTAGTAGTTGTAGAGCACAATACTCTTTCAGAATGAGATGATAAACTTTGTTTTATAATGTGAGATAGGTTATACTTATCATTCACTTGTTTCAAAATTAAATTGATGTCATGATTCTCACTTAATGTTAATGTTATTCTGTAATCGCTAATATATTTTGATTAAAAAAGGATACTAAGAAATGGTAAGTTGGTAACTCTCTCCGATAATATTATGTGAACTCATAATTAAATAAGTACAAAAATTTTACAGCATTAATTTTATCTTAGATGCGTTGGTCTGCAAAAATCTTAAAATTTGAAAAAAAAAAAAATGTTTTTTTTATAAACGAAAGATAACTGTTTTTCACTTCCAGCTTTAGAGAAGATAAGTATTTTATCAAAAATCATTAATTTAAGTTGTAAAAAATCTTTTGTCAAATATCTTCAATTTAAACACACAAAAAAAGGTTGTTGGGAAATCCACTCCATGTATAATTGAATTTTGAGATCCAAAATAATGTTAAAATTATTGGGAGGGGACAATGTGTGTTAGAGAAATCATTTTAACAATATTTACGAGTGAAAGGATATTCTGACAATCAAGTTGTGTTACTATCAAGTGACTATCAATCAATCTCACCGTTAGATCGATTATGTTGATCCAACAGTTATATTTATTTTCATCTTTGTATGGTCATGATTCAACGTAAATATCTATTTGGGTCTATGTATGACCCTCTCTCGTTACCAACAACAACAAAAAATCTACGTACACAACTGAGGTGTTCGTGACACAGACACCAACATCAACAATCAAAATGCAACACAAAAACAACTACATGTAAAGTCTACACTAAACTTTCACTATAAATACAACAGTTTTAAACAGATCTTAATTAGTATTACCAACTATTGGCATAGTAGTACATAGAGAACCAACCAGCATTTACATGAGAAAAGACACTAATCTGGCCAATATTGCAAAGGAGCATCTAAAGTGGCTTCTTCACCTTGGAAGCAGCACTATGCCAGTGGTAGCTGTGCAATGTTCTGCAAATCAGAATCAATTGATGGGTTTTGCTGAAGGGAAATGACCTGTTCAGAAGGGAAATAGTGATCAAGAAGGAACATGGGTGAGGGTGATGATTCATTATCCACAAAGTTTATCATAGTTTGGTGTAGCCAAATCTGAGTCTTGAGGAACTTCACGTATTGAATGGCTTCCTCCAACATAGACACTATGTCCATCTTACTCCCACCAGGGACCATACTCTGCAAGATCTTGAACCTGTCACTGATTCTATGCCTTCTTTCTCTTGCTGCTACGCTTTGTGGTTCAGTGGAAAGCTTCACTCCTTTGTTTTTCTTCCCACCCTTTTTCTCCTTGCTCTTGTTTTCCCTTGAAGATGACCCTGCTGATGAGGTAGAGTTACCACCAGGAATGCAATCCATGTGCTAAGTTGAAAGTACTATTTCAAACATAAGAATACCTTGTGAAACTTACTTTGAATTTGGTAGGAGTGGTGGTGGTATATTTTAACACTTATTTATATAGGAAGAAGAGCGTGACCTTGTTACATGATTTTGATTTTTGAACGAATGAAAGAGAACAGATGTTGTCACATGAGTCAGCTAATTTCTGCCATGTTTTAGGTAGGGACACGAAGCTAAGGTTCTTTTTTCTTTTTTTCTCTGTAGAGTTCTTTTGGGATATGTTATTGATGTTCAGTTTCCTACAGTGTTTTAAAATCTGACTCGGACTGGTCGGGTCGACTCGGGACTCGGTGATCCAGTGGGTTCTTCGGTTTGAGCAGGTAGTTGGACCACTTTTGCAGTCAATCCGAATTGGACTGGTTGACTTGGCCGAAACCCGGTTGACTAGGTGATCCGGTTGACCCAGGTTAGACCGGTTATTTTTTCTTTTTTTTTGGTAAATATTTTTTTTGATGATAAGAACTCTTGAATTAAATTATATTCATATTTTATTATGAATATGATTAAAAGTAAGGTGAAAATAATAAGGTATTTTAGATTAGTGCAGTTCGTTTATGTAATTTAGTTGCATCTTATAATGATCTCATGAAGTTAAGTGGTGATAAACACTGATGGTCTCATGATCTCATCTCAACGGTGAACCCTTTTTTTTAGTGTATATTTCATGCATACTATTGTTATCATGATAACGGGGACACTCTTTTCTTAGTGTATATTTCATGCATACTATTTGTTATCATGATTTAATTTATCTGTATCATGTCAAGCACAAAAGATGCATTTAACTTATATTGCAATTTTAATCCAATAGTAGGATATGGTCTAGAGTTAGAAGCTTAAAAGTATATAATATTTGCTATCATTGAAAATCAATTTATTTTTTGAAGCTCATTGATAGTTTTCTTATGTGAATTTTTATTAATATAAGTAATATTTTTATACTTTTAATATGTGAATAGTAAATTCGGTTGAACTCGGTTGAACCAGTGACCCAGTAACTTGACCGGTTCGATGACCGGTCCGAGTTTTAAAATACTGGTTTCGTGTTTCCATGAAAGGGCGTTTGGTAGAGGAGAAAAAAAATTTTATCAAAAAAATTTAATTACTAGGGATATGATGAGATATGAAGTTTGGTAGAAAAAAAAATGGTTTGGTTGGCCAAAATTTTACCGAAAAAACTGAGTGGAATTTTATAAGTCTTTGTTTGGTTGAAGGTAAAATATAGATGGGAAAATATGGTTAAATTACCATAACAACCCTTGACTAAAATAAAATGGGAAAATATGATTTTAGTTTGTTGTAGTTTTCTCAAACATCAGGGTCATTTTGGTCTCCTTGCTTGCAATCCTTTTTGAATTTCCCCCTCTATCAGCAAATACCACCTTGTAGGTGGTATTATTCAACAGTGTTTTTTACACACAAAAAACAAACACTAGGCAAATGAGTTCTCTAGCAAAAAACTTCAAAACATGATACCAAACATGGACATCCAAATATACCACTTCCATTTACCTATCTATCCTTAATAAAATCATCTACCAAACACACCCCCTGATTTCTTAACTTTGATTAAGTATATAGTACATATTGTTAGAAATTTTTATAATAATTGTGAGCTTCAATCAATTGTAATTTTTTTTTTTGTTTTAATAAAAATGGGCTAAGTTATGATTCATATAGGGGTGCAATATAAAGTTCAGTTAATTAATGATCCTTTTGATTTGGTTAGTGTGAGTAACAGTGTAGGCCTAACTCATAGGCCCACGATGGGAATGAAACTAAGGTTAATAAGTTTGGCTAGGTCCCCTCTACATTCACAATGTGTTGAAAAACCGTCACTCCACAACTCGCCCCATCGACGGTTGTGATTAGGGGTGTTCATAAACTGATACAAACCGCAGTGACCAAATCGGAAAATTGATAATCAAATAAGCTGAAAATCGAAAAATCGAAAACCGAAAAAAAATCGCAAATTTTAATTGGATTGGATCGGTTTTTGGATTGGTTGATGAAAACCGATCCAATCCAAACTGATCCAATATATTAATTCTCTTCTACCTATTTGGGCATTTCCTTAATCATAGCCCAAAAATTTCTAAACTCAAGGCTCATTAACCCATCAACTAAATTCAAGAAAAAAATCTAGTCACATCTCATCAACAAAATTTCATCTGTGTGGAGTTCATATCTCATTTCCCAAAACAAAATATATATTATCGTTTATTGATGATTTTGTATTTCAAAAAAAAAAATTCAAAGTCAATATATAGAAAAGATGTTATTTGCACAATAATCATGAAACAAATTTTAGGATTTTCAAAAAATCTAAAATCGATCCAATCCAAATCGAAAAAAAATTGATTGGATCGGATCGGATTTGAAAAAAAATCCAAACCGAATGGATGATTACATGATCAAACCGAAGAGATTGAATCGAATGATTTTTACTTCCAAAATCAATCCAATCCACACCGCGAACATCCTTAGTTGTGATCAGGAAGTGATATGAATTGTAGAGAAAGATCCTGATCTTTTCATTGCAGGAGCATCACAGTAAACAAAATTTTTTTAAAAAATCAAAAATTATATCTTCAATAAATAAGCTTGAATTTTTTGATATTCTAATTTCATATAATCATATTTTATAAAATTCTGACACATATATCCCTTCACAATGTGACATGATGACCCACCTGCAGGAAGACTGAAAGGGGGCAAATACCCGAGAAATTAGGCCCTCCATTTTTATTTAGATTCCAAAGGATCTTGATGATCAAATAGAAAGTATGGTCCTTTTTGTACCAAAAAAAAAAAAGTACGGTCCTTTCCCCTTAAATTGAAGCAAAATGT